TATCATAAAAACAAAAAGTTTTTTGAGAACGTCTGTTTTTTGGGTTGGCAAAAGGATCAGCGGAAAGAGTTTTTTATGTCCTGACCATTTATTTTTTTTAGAAAATGGATATTAAATGCATGATTTTTATTAAACATGTACATGTCTAATCTATAATAAATATATTAATGATTTTTATATGCATAAATTAATCATAGCTTATTGCTTTGTAAATCTAACCATACAAACTTTATCTTGTAAATAAGTTTAAATATTAGATGGAATCTTTAAGAAAGTAGAAATCCTGTTTCCAATTTAAACCATTTAATATTGAACTTCTATTGCAGTTGCACCATTGTGGAAAGGTCGTACAAAGTACCATTTATAGAAATCATTTTGACTATTCTTTTTATAATATTAAAATTGATTTTTAAAAGAATAAAATATATATTAATACTTAATAAATTACTTTATTATATTATATTTTTAGCTTTAAAGTTTTTAACTAATATTAAAATAATACTGATTTATAATAAATTTAATATATGAATTATAATCTACTATAGTAAAATTAATATTGGTTTAATATTAAAATAATATTATTGGAAATTTTATTTAACTTATATAGTTATAAGATTAAAAAGATTCAATATACTGTATAGTAAATATATGTTTTTTAATAAATATTTCAAATACTATAATTCCTAATTAATACTATATACGTAATGAAATAAAATTCAAACATTTTTTCAAAAATTGTATTATGTTAGAATTATTAAATAATATATAATAAATAATTAAAAACTATATTTAATTTGAAATTATATCATTATATAAAATTAGTATATATACTGTATATACATAATATATTAAATAAAATATTTGTTTTTAAAAAGATTATTTTGTTATTTTTATTTATAAGTGAAAGTGTATTAATTAAGCATTATAAATTTATATATAATATATTATATATTTTTATAAATATTATAAAAAATTTTTTAATTATAATGTATAATTTTAATTTAAAATTAAAAAAATTTATGAAAAAATAAATTTAACATATAAAATTATTAAATAAAAATAAATAAAATTTTAAAATTAAAATATAATTAAAAATTTTAAAAATCCATATTACAAATATATTTTTACAAATTAAAAAAATATTTTATAATTAATTTTAGAAATAACAATTATAAAACAATTTAATAATATTATTTAAACATTATAAAAATTTTTTTATAAATTTTTTTACAAGTTAAAATTTTTTTAAAAATAGTTATTATACTAAAAAAAATTTTATTTATAAAGTTTATATATTGTTTTTATAATCAATTTTTTAAAATATTTTTTTGAAATTTTAAATCAAAATTTTTATAACAAATACATTAAACATATAAAATTTAATTTGATATTGTATTAATAAAATTTTTTATTGCATTATAATTAATTAAAATTTTTCAAAAAAACAACTGTTTTATATTATATATATTTTAAGATAATTTTTTTAAAAAGTATAATTAAATATATACAAATATATAATTGTTTAAATATATAATTGATTAATAACAGATTGATAATTTTAATTATAAAATTTATTTTATTAATATATATTGTATATTGTATATATAATATATTTTATATAATATGTTGCTTTATTTATAATAAAAACAATTACAATAAATTTTTAAATTTTTAAATATTTTTAATTAATAAACAATATACAAAAATAATAATTATTATTATTTTAAATAATAAAAAATAATATATTATCTATATTGTATAGTGGAAATTTAATTGTTGTTTTTGAAAATAAACATTTGCAAAATAAATAAAAAAACATCTGTTTATTGATGTATTTGGTATGGGAACAGTAGATTTAAGTATAAAACCTAAGATATTTAATTTACAATTAAAAAAATAATTTTTGCCAAGAAAATATTACAATGCTGATGTACTGTATGTTATACAGGATATACAGGATGCATATGTTCAAAACTTTATTATTAATTTTAGCACAATGCTAATAGAAGTTGGCGATACTGTATTTGTATTTTTGAAACAGATCAATTGAAATCTTTACGTTTTTTTGGACTTGCATTATCTTCGAAAATCTAAAAATATTTTCAATATTCTTTTTGTACGTGAATTTTTCGCGCGCAGCATTTTTACTTAAAAAATTACATGTAACGTAACAGACGATACACAAATAAACTGGCGCTGTTCCATGAAATTCCAAATTGAATTAATTGTGCTCTCTAATGAGAAAACAAATATCTACCATTGATTTTCGAACGTACAGATATAGTCTAGGTCGATTACAATACATGATGTTAGTCAATACGCACCACTCTGCCCTACATATTTTATGACAGACAATTTTATAAAAAGAACCAAAACTCCTTAAATACGGCTCCATTTTTTAAAAGTTTGTGCTCATATTCACTTCCTTCACCTCTCCGCCTTACTTTATACACGTACTATCACATTGTCTGTAAAAATGGCAACAGATGAACCATACAAGCCAAGGGTCACATACAAAGTTGGTTATAGCAAGGAAATTTAATTTAATTGTACTTTTTATCTTATGTTATTTACGTCTTATTTTTAATTTCAGCTGGTAAAAACATTTGCGTCTGGAGACCATTCCACGTCCATGAACGAATTTGACGATTATAAGGATAAATCTCACCTTCAGTTTTTTTTTGATATCACTAAAGTTGCCGATACGTCTAAACTTACTCCCAAATATTTCCGCGAGGTCTATAGACCCGATGGAAAATATAAACTATACTGGTTCAAGGATGCTTTGAAAAGGATCACGCGAAATAATCAAACACAATCTTTATCCACATCACCCACAACTCCTGCAGTCATCTGGACCATCGAGCCGATAAAACTAAAATTTTCAAAAATTTTTAAGAAAGTTAGACGACCAAAGAAATTTGATATAACCTTTACAGGTACTGGTTCACGTTCACACTTTGAGTTTGGCGGTGGACAAAATGAACCATTGGGTTATTCCGGAGACGCACATGCCCCATTTGATAATACCTGCGTGCAAAGATATCGTTGGGTGAGATACGGTGATGGTTCCAAATGGGTCTTTATTGTTAGAAATGATCCAAGAACCCCTTTGGTGGAATTTAGGAAAACAGAAATTGAAAATGAGTTTACCATTGTTTTTCTTGAAGATACACCACCGTCTTGGAATCCTCGTATTGCTCGTAAAACCTCTGATCCCCCACCATCAAATCCTTCTTCTCCTACCATTATTTATCCTTCAGGATTCACAGTCACCTCGTCGTTACGAGATTCGGCAACAACTGGAATCATGTCCGATTACTCTTCGTTTCGAGGATCTGCTTACTCTGATGCATCAGGTCAAGTTGGAATTGACAAGCATCCCTCAATTCTCGGAGTTATAAGTAATACAAATAAGTTCGAAACGATCAGAGAGGCATCGAGTCCTACAGACACCGAAATACCTTATGAGCAAAATGACGGGGATTTAAACAAATATTGGATAGAATTTGTTTTAGCATCAACGGTGGCAATACAGGATGAGGTTAATTCGAGAAAACATAGGCTTTGGAAATCTCACAAATAAATCTTTTTTGATAATGGGTGGAGAGATGTCGGGTCTTTGACTTTTTCATGTATATTATTCTTTTTTTTCAACTGTTTGTCTTTCTTTTTTATGCAAAAGCTATTGACTAGCTTTAAAAAACTCATCAACATAAGTATTATAAATAAAACAAATGCACTTTATTTCAAAGATATAATCAAAATTGGATATTGAAAAACATTGTGAATTTAAAAAACCACGTATGCGTGCTTATAACATTATAACACGCGCCACCTGAGTTTTATTTGATTTTTTCTTGCAAATGTAAATAATGCATGTCCAAATTAGCGCAAATTTTAACTATAACGCGAATTTTTTGATGCGAGAATTGTAAAGTTATTCATTAAATCATGTGGATAATATTGAAATTTCAATTGAATTTATGCTTGTTTCATCGTTAACAAACAAACTAAAGTGTTACTTGCATTATTGAACTTGTTTGCAGTTCACAATGCGTTCGATATGGTAACCAATATGTATATTGTAGCTTTTCTTTTTTGTATGCACACACTGTACAATACATACTGATCACTTGATACTGCAAATTATAGATCCGGAAAAATCCAAGTGAAACTTCCGATTGCAGTACAGAATTCCAGGTTATTTAACCTTATACAGGCAATAAGTCAACCGAATT